TGCAACGTCGAATGAACAATTTGATGATATATCAGGTATGTTGCTCCTTACAGGGAGCCATAGAGGGCGCGACCTCAGTGTGGATATTAGGTTACCTCTTTTATTTTTAAAAATAANCCCCTTCAACTCATTCAGATCACGTAAACTTCTGCTCTCCTCTCCTCTATAGATGTTGGATTGAGCTTCTATCATCTATAGATGAGAGGATAGCGGAAGATTACGCGACCTGAACGAGTTGAAGGGGCTATGGGCGGAGTCGCGCCGCCTCAAATGGGCGGCGCTACCCCGCCCATCGCGCCAAACGACATACACCCCATTTGAAACATATCGGATCATCGATCTAAGAGCTTCATTCAGTTATCCCCATGAGGAAAATGACGTGATCTCACCTACATAGTTGGAAACTTGAAGTAACGAGCTACGAGGCATCAGAGTAAGGCTCCAACAACGAGTGCCAATTGGGCGTTCGCCTGGAAAGAAACATCCGATTCACCTCGGGTAGTGTCGTTCCTAGCGTACTGACTTAATGGACCCTCATCTGGGATAACCCCACGAGTTCAATTCCCAATGGGTGTCGCAGTGGCACTCAAACGCGTTCCCGAACAAGTCTTGTACACTTTCCCAAACGTACAAAGGTCTAGCTGTCGTGTTTTGAGGAAATATAAGTCCAGAATCTGATCTTGTCCATGTGTACGGTAGTGGACAATTAATTACTACCTTACCTAATCTTTTCATATGAGAAATAAAATATTAGGAAACATTCTACACCGATGGAACGGAAGTGGTGGTAAGTGGCGCACTTCACACACGCATGGTCACGGGTCCGAAATCCGAAATTTACCTAAGCTAACCAAGCTTTCCAACCCCTCCGGAGTCTTCTGATCGGTAGTGGGTTCATCTGGGTGGATAAAAACACTGATTATTACGACAGCTGGCCACCGCAAGTCATTGTATTCATACGCATTCAATTCTGTTCGTAAGTCGAATGCGGAGCGCATCCCTTGAAAGGGATTGATTAATGTCCGACAACATCATGCAAGACTTTATCTGCAGCGATGAATGTTCTGATTGCAGCCACAGATTGAATGGTATCTTCTATTGATTATCATCGATTCGATGGTAACATTACCTTTTATGGCAACACTAGGTATCTACTGGGCGTTACTAATAAACAGTACTTTGAAGAAATCGTCATTTAGCAGTCAAACAAAAGTTATGCAACGTCGAATGAACAATTTGATGATATATCAGGTAAGTTGCTCCTCACAGGGGACCATAGAGGGCTCGACCTCAATGTGGATATTAGGTTACCTCTTTTATTTTTAAAAATAAATTACTGAAATTTTTTTTCCGTCATTTTGAAGACTGTCTGCCCTGTTCTACTACTCCATACACCGGCATTCGTGCAATTTATTATAGTATTCCTTGGCACTACTTCTAGCACAACTACATCTCATGTGTGCCAGACATTATGGACGGCATTTCCGGTGTTTAGTGCACTAATCACTCTTGTATTTTTCAAAGAATACCGTGCATTTTTTCTCAGCAATTTTTTAGTTCAAAAAATATTCAGGATTGTGTCTGATATGATGACTCGATCTTCTATATAATTGAAACTGATTATAATGAAGTAGATTCCAATGATGAGGACCTATTACCCTCTATAAAAGCACTGCATATGTTTTAGTGATGATTGTTGACTTTTTCTCCTCATACTGTGTGAATCACTTTAATCGCACGGTTTCAGTTTTTATGGCTTTTCTGTGTTTCTGTGTATTGTTTTTCAGTTGGGCTTTTTCAGTGGCGCTCTTTTGTTTTTGTGCAAATAAATAAATAAATAAGTAAATGTGGTAAGAAAAAAATAAAATCAAAAATTTGTGTGACCAGAAGGTGCTGAACTCTCTGTAGTCTCCAGAGAATGTAGAAACTTCGAGCAGATGGCGTCGAACCCGTATGCTGCGGTCATACAACCCCTCCGCTGTGGGAATTGTGTTTTTTGCTACCAGCCTGGTTGGCAATGCTGGCGGCTTCAGCTATGAACGAGGCTTGCTGCACCTCTTCTTCCTTTCTGAACTCGATTTTGCTTAGCCATTGTATTATTGCGATTTCAAGGCCATTTGACTCGAGCTCCATGTGGTTGTTTAGCTCGAGCATCAGCTTTTCTCTATCCTTCTGTTCCGATCGTGAACTGATTGTTTCGATCGCTTTGTCGAAATGGATATCGTGAAGTTGTTTTGCCTTTTTGATTGTTGTTGTCAAGTGATTCAGCTGTGCAGTTTTTTCTATTATGTACACCTCACAGTCCTCCTTTTCAGTTGAGAATGTGAATGGGCCGTCCAAAAGTTTGAGATCTGACTCGCTTGAACGGATCAGCTTGCATGCGTGGTGTTTCTGTTTTTTGAACAGCTGAATTTTCGCCATTTTGATGCTGGAGCTGTTTGAAGTCGGTTGTTGCTTTTTTGTGCTCTGTTGGATCTGAGCACAAGCTGTTCGAAACCAATGAGCGTCTAAACTGTGTAGAGTTTAGCTCAGTTCGATGTCTCTTTTGAAACGCCTTGACTTCGTGTAGGATGTGTTTCCTGCCACGCGAGCCTTTAAGTTCCTCAGGGAGGAATTGATGTGAAGATCTGTCTTTTTGGCTAGTGAACTAGTCAAAATTTTGCCAAATTTTCTAGTCTTCAGGGAGGCTTGTTTGGTTGTTAGCTATCTTTTGTTCTCTCACTGTGGAGAGATTGTGCAGAAGATTTGTGCTTGTTCCCCGGTTCTCTTTGAAGTACTCGCAGGAAATTTCCCCGATTTCTGGGAAGTAATAGAAATGTCCTTCTGTTTCTCACTGGGAGAGCTAGCGCAGAAGGATATGTCTAGTTTCTGTATACCTCAGGGGAATCAGAGTAGTTGTTTGAGCTTTGACCAGTGATGTGGTCAAAGGCTTGCCAAATTTTGCTTTCCTAAGGGAGGAATGGGGAGCAAATTGGCTGTTTGATGAACCTTCTGTCTTTCACTGGGGAAAGCTAGCTCAGAAGTGATCGCTTCGCGGCCGATGCACCAATTTGGTGGATTACCAATGGGAGTTGTAGTAAGGACGTGTAACAAAGGTTTATTAATACGCCTAGTACAAAGATCGACCCTAATAATACATTCACGGGGTTTATATACACAATATGTGGGCGGTCCTCAGATACCGTATCGCTAGTGTGCTTAGGGGGCTCGTGGCGGTACTCAAGCTCAGGGATGAACGGCAGAACTGCGCCAACGGCACAACTTAAGTTAATTACTTGATTGCACACTTAAGATATCGCCAGGTCATGCCTGTGGTCTCAACTCAAGAGATACTCATGTCAAGTTATGCCTATGGTTAATATGTCGAACTAGCATGCTATCCATCATTCTTGTAGAGGCTAGTTCTATTGTAAACATATATATGGTTGTGAATCTTTGATCATTTTTCGATTGTTGTCCGTCTGAATCGCGTGGTTGCACAAGGAGACCTAAGATATGGATACAATTTCGTAATGCAAAATTGTAAAAGCAAAGATCAGAGTTTCTGGAATCCGCAGTCCCGTTTTGGGATAGGCCCAAATTGAACATTTTTCAAAAAAAAACATTTCCCAGATTCATCACGAATGCAATCATGGAGGAGAACCTGAAGTTGTAAGCTCTCTCAACAATCGAAAGGTGAGCTAGATTTGGCATAAGCAAGCTGCGAACAGTATCGAAACGATTATCGCCTGAATCTCTCGGCACGGGACTAGGGAGAATGTCAAGGCAACTGCCGTTGTGCCTTTCCAGCATTTATACATTGCTCCAAACACATCAATTCGATAACAGACTTGGCATTACATGAATCCAAATGGACCAGAAAGTTTGACCTCAAGCACCATTTGGCTTTTCTCGCTACAGACATATATGGCCTTCAGTGGAGGCAGCTCAGTTTTGCTCACGTCTACTTCCCTTTTTCGTGAGCATCATGGAATCAACCCTGCATTACAGATTGCTTCTTTACTTCTTCCTTCCCTTCTTCTTCAGATGGTTCTCAATCCCGTTATAGTAACCAACACAGATTTATACACATATACAGCAAATATATGTAAATACATCCATACGTACATACCTAAACGCACACACCCACAAACGCAGACACACCGTAGCACTTTACAGTTTCTCGTTATGGCAAAGATATAGACGGCGAGAATAATCCAAGAGCTGATGATTTTGAGAATATCCTTCAACGTTCTATGATGGGATAAATATTCACCCGGTTTGTCTGGGAGGATCAAAGCACTGAGTTGAACATCAGCTGGTCACAGCAATTCAATGTGTAAGCCCCACGGTTCCAAATTCCGATGTCTTAATATAAGTTAAATGCGGAGTCTCATCCCAGAGTTGGGATTGAGTGGTGCCGAGGGCTCTTCTTAGTCACATGCCTATCTTTTATATCCGAACCCATGACCATACTTATTATGTTATTCATCACATCGCAGGGCTAATCGCTACTCGTAAGGTAATTACTGTCATGGCTGCTAACTGTCTAACATCGTTCCGACTGAAAGCGAGCATTTCATTTTTTAACGGGTGAACAGTGTTTCTCAAAGCCATGATTCATCTTCATAGAGACCTAAAGACTTTCAAAAAACATCATCTTGTTGTCGCACCTCTCCTACTACTATTGCTCCTTACAAGGACCAATACTTAATGGAACAGTCGGCTATACAGCTCATAGCCTTTTCGAGGATTTTCACAAGACTTATCCTTTTTCCGATATATGCCACTACTACAGCATACTTTGTTCGTAGAAGCAGAATACAATTTATAAAAATGGATCACATTCTTAGTAAAGTTGATTTGTATCTGTAGGCGTCGTTCGTATCTGTAAATACAGAGTCGACCGACAATCAACTTCGTACCGCCAACTTACCTTTCATTTGATCACAATTCTCACTGAAGAATTCTTGCTGTTCCTCAGATTCACTACATAATGCTTACAATAACGATTGGAAAGCGAGTAATTTTTCTTATGATCGTCTGCCCCGAGGTGGCTGATCCGAAAGATGCTATCTATTGGATTCTACTTATCATCGAAAGCCTTATAACCTGCTTGGCTTTAGTACATATTACACGACTGATACGTGTTTTTGGGAAGACATCGTTATTTCATAAGAATCTTGTTCGAATTTCACAAGTGAGTTTGATTACTGTTTTCTTCATTGGGGCATGCTCTACAGCTGCTAATCCAGCGAGGGAGTCTTTCTAGAGCCTATCCAATCTTTTGGAACTTCACAGTTCCCTAGTGGGGATTCAAAATGATTGTTCAAGCCCTTCTATCCCAGAGAAAGTAATAATATGACTAACGTATCCTTCTTTCGGGATTAACTGACATATTTTTCTTTTAGTCTATGGAAGACTTTCAAAACCCTGCGGATAGTTTCTGGGTTTATCGTCGGCTTGGATTCGGAATTTGACATTTGTGATAGTGACATTAAAAATATCGCAGAAACAGTTCCAAAGAAAGTTTTGCAGGCTTTATTGGTCATATTTTATCCCAATGTAGTGGCACGTTTTATTATAATCTTTTACGAAGCTGGTATTTTGGCACATGACGGTAAGACTTCGATACACGTTCCTCTTTAATCATTTACTTTCATTAATCTGCGCCTAAATGAAGAATATGAAAGTCGGCAGGGAGCACAACCTAATCACTCATTGACTGCGCTCATGCTCATAGCACGTCATTCCTAACATTTGTTGTACTTGCCAAATTGCGGTATGATGCAGAGAAGGTTCAGTGCCGTGGAGTGTGGCCCTGACAAGGTGTTGTTTATGTAAGCCTGGGTTGGATCAGGGTGCAACACACCAGTCAGGGTAGTCTTTCGGCCCTCGGGTAGTTAATTAACATTTTTCCTTCTGATGATAAAAAAACCGATTCCTGCATCAGGAGCGCGTTCTGTGAGTTTAATCCGCATTCAATGCCCCACGTTTCTGACCAAATGTCGAGTATGAGTAACCAGAGAACACCTTTTCGTTGTTCTTTCGGCCCGAAAGGGTTTTGTATGACTCAAATAAGAGGCGGGGATGGTGCACTGTCAAGTGTCCTATACTATCAACTGTATGGCCAGTACTGAGGGTTCCATCACTCTGACGTCGGTCAGATGGTATCAGCTTTTTCTAGAGGGATAAGTGTAATGTGTTGTTCATTGGCCGCTCACCGCATGGGGTAGGCCACTGCAAATCGTCCCTGAGATTTGGAGTGGAAGTGAATGCGAGGACACATCCCGAAGTGAGATTATCGAGCCAGAAGGCTTTGAGATCTTATATTCAAGTATCAATGATCCACTCAAATAACAATGTATCAATGTAGGGAGCTGTCTATCCAATGTCCTCACATCATGTGCATGTCTCGTTCGCCTATGGACTACTAATTCAATGGTATCATATTTCCCGTCAGTGATTATCGAAAGGCTTTTTGCTTCGAGATACATCATGGATTACGAAAAGCTTCCCAGACCTTGGATATGCAGGATCGTGATTCCATTTGTTTGTGTCACCTCAATATTCACTTCAACTTCTGAAATGCTGGGTATGTTTTTATCTAGTTTTTGATTAACCTAATATTATTGTAGTTTGTCCATAATTTTATAGCAAAAACATCGCTACTACTTCAGGCTACTCCAACAACGTAATTGGCACGATAGTGGTCTCTATATTTTTCCTTATCTATTGCACGACATGTATAACTCTCTTTCGTCGAGATTCTGCAAAATTGCGAGTTATGAATCGTAATCTTGTACAGAAAAAAGTCATCTACACTCTGAGTACAAAGTTTCAACTGAAAGAAAATATCAAAGTCATGAAGGTAAGGGGAGGATTTTGCCACTATAAAAATTTAGCAGCGAATCATGTCGAATCATATTTCTACCACTGCCCTTCAGCATTTGGGGGAATGCCAAACATGGATTGGAATGTGAGCCACTTGTGTACAAAACAGTGCTTGAGAGAAGGTGTCAATAGCAAGTACAGCAAGTCTCACCGTCACCACTGATCTCACTCATGATCTCCAACTGAAATTCCTAGCTTGTACCCGTCAATGGCATGCCGAAGAGCCAGATGTGCTGACTTGTACCTCGGCTGCGATATCTACTGGATTTCATTTCCCTAGTTTAAGAGTTTGAGAATAGCAGGGTCGTCCGCAATGAGCAGTATTTTGTCCGTGCTTGAGGACAACAAAGCAGCCACTGATTGCTCAAATAAATTTTCTTAAATGTTCTTTGAAACATTATCAGTATTACCCCATATCCGTCGTTCTTCCGAATCAGGCACAGAGGTCCGACTTGTATGAGTCACATTAACCCGAAGTCTATCCGAGTCTATGCAGCCTCTACGATACGACTCATTCTCTTTCTTGAGGCCTGAAAAAAAGAAATTCAACGAGATCTTTTTCTAATCAAACTTGTCAAAACGTCAGGCACAATAAATGTTCCACCATTAAGAATCCTGTTCTGCACAGAATTGAATTACAGAATCGTTTCGCAGATTTGGAACACAGATTTGAGATCAACGTTTGGAACCACCTAGGGCAGTATACATCTCAACTCGAATGGCCTTCACAACCAAGTATCCTTCCCTTGTTAGGCACAATAATTGCTTAAAATCAACTAACCAGGTTTCGGGAAAGGCGAACTTAGGATTACAATCGAGCTTTATTTCCCTTTTCTCTATGTTGATGGTTTAGATTTTGATGTATCAGACAATTGTGGTAGCCGTGAACACCGTGATTGGTTGCTTGTTTTTTACTTTGACAACAACTGTACTGGTAAATCATCCGCAATGGAACCCTATGGCTTATGTACTTACGAATATTTCCTTTACAGTGTGAGTTAAGAGTTTGTTATGACCACCTCACATAACTGTTTTCTTATTTTAAATGCTCTAATACCTAATATGTCCATTCAGATCCTTCTACATGATTGCTTTGGTGTATATGGTCGCCCTTGATGAAGTTCAAATTCGTTTTCTTCTTCCATGGAAATGGGGAGCTCAAAACGTCCACAGAATTCAACCCATAAACGAGCATCGTGGAGCATCTAATGCATATTTTGAGCAACTGACTAATGCCTGGTAGATGTAATCCAAGGCGCCCGTATGCCATAGCGAATCCCATGTGAGCCTCTGCTGGAATAAGGAGACCAAGTGAAAAGTTTCCAGCTACTGTGAAATCCTACGTACACCAATGCTTCATGTATGTTTACGATAGTTCAGAAGGAAAGATCCCAGTATGCTTATTCTAGAAACCTTCATGGAACCCTCTCGCTTCCTTTCGCTGTCGGTAAAGGCCGAAGAGAGAGACCGCACGGATGGGCGACCCCCTAAACGCAAGGCGTACTAAGGGTGATCATAGGAGGTCAGAAAGTGATCGCGCGGGGAAGTGAAGGTATCGAGTGGGGTGGTTGAGTACGTGAGGTAGTGGACGCGTGTGCTCGTCTGAGGTGAGGTCTCCCCTCATCTCTTCTCTGTATGGCCTTTGTGGCTGAGACATCTGTTAAGGGCCTTTGTGGCCGATCCCTATTTAAGGGCCTGTGTGGCCGTAGCCAGATAGTCATAGGGCCTTAGTGGCCAGAGCTAGCCTCAGTGGCAGGAGTAGTAGCGGCCTTAGTGGCCGAAATCCAGCGTAGGTCCCGAGGTATCCGCTAGGGGCAATTGAGTTGGAGTACACGATACCAGTGCGAGTGGGTTCAGGGGACAGCCGCCGCG